AAAACCACAGAAGTCAGCAGCTGGGTGGTTTCAGGCAGGTGAAGCTCTGAAATGAAAACAGTTGGGGTTGCAAGTTGATGCTTCCCCTTTGAGGGCTTGTCTTCACAAGAAAGCAATTCTGGAATAAGAGTGAATGAGTTTAACACACAAGACCTGTTCCAGAAAAATTCTGTGTAGACAGGTCCTAAATGTTTTTCTTCCTTCTAGCCTCAGCGAGTATCTTTGTTCTTGGAAGAACGTTGGGCCTGACCTCCCCTGTCATCCCTCCGGTCGTTCTGCGGTGCTGCTGCGTGCGTGATGCCGCTGCTGCCGATGGCTGGTTGCCGTCCCCATTGCTAGAAATCCAGGCCTGAAATTTCAGGAGAGACTGGATTGTCCCTCTGCGCTTGTTACTCTTGATGCACAAAGTGCTCGCTGTAGTCCACAAAGTCCTGGTTAGGTTAGGTGTGCTTCTGCAGTCTAATGATGATACTTGACATCCCTAATTCTGGCTGTTTATGAAGGAAGCAGGCCGAGTGGGATAAAATCCCTTTACGTGGCAATGTTTTGTGACTTATTATTTAGAAGAACAATCCTCTGTCCCTGCTCTTGGGCAGTAAACCTCTTTCTTTAATAACCAGAGACTGGCTGCCTCTCTGTAGGACACCCCAGGTCAGTGCCAGTAGCAGTAATGTTATTTCTCTTCAGAACTAATGTGGCATTTTTATGAGATTTTTCCCTCCTTCCTTTCAGCTGAACTTTAGGCATGTAGAAGGGGATTAAAATGAGGCCCGTGGCAAACAGAACTGAATGTGCTGTTTCCAAAACAGGGGTGTCTGCTGTGAGATGTCTCTGGGCAGTTGGCTGTTCCCACCATATTAAAACAGAGATGTAGGGACTGAACTTGGTCAGCCTATGTAAGCCAAGGTGGGACCTGGAGCACGGTGAGTTATTACAGCAGGGAATTAGATGGCCACACAGACTGCGTTTTCAGAAGTGGCAGTAGGGATATGGATTTGAAAGAAATAACTGTAATCTTCGAAGTGTGTGTATGCAGTAAGCAGATGATTTTTAAGGTGACTTTGGCTGTTAGGATGTTGGATGGCTCTGGGATGACCAAAGGAAGAGCAGGAGTTCACAGATGCCCAGGTGATTCTGTCAACAAGGGTGGTGCTCTGTGCAGGAGCAGGCAGAGCTTAGCAGTGTCCCCTCAGTACGGAAAGTACTGCTTGCAAACTAATTGTGTCGTCATACTCTTTTGAGGATGTCAGTTTGATAGGGGTCTCCTAATAGAAATATTCAAACATGCTCTTCAAAAGGAAAGCCTGGCTTCTCCGTGTGAGTCTGGGGACAGAGCTGGAGGGAATAGAGACGAGTCTTCTCGCAGCAGTGCTGAGGCACACTCTGATGCAGCAGCAAGTGGAAAATCCTGCACTGATGCTGTCTGATGCCCCCGTTTCAAGCCGAGTCCAGCTTTCACGTTGTGTGCTTGTTATTTCTGCAGTTCTTCATCAGCAGGCGGATTTGTTTTTTTTCTGTTCTCCACTTGCCAGCCCTCAGCCATTAATTTGTCTTTGGACCAAGCCCTCCAGGTCTCTTATTGTCTAGAGTGTTGGAAATAGAGACGTTATTGCTCCTAGCGCTTCATCTGTATCACGCGTATCGTGGACTTGTGTTCTCTCTTCCAAAACGTGGGCGAGGCTGAGTGGTCATTTCAGTAAGAGCAGTCTCCTTAACCCTCTGCATCAGGGAATCAGTTTATGGCATTAGCAGGATCTTGTTATTACTGTTAATATAAAAGGAAGTTTATGGGAACTGTGACAAGGACTTACAAACATCTTCCAGTAAATGAATTCTTGCTGCAAATGTCATGTTACTAAAGGACATGAGAAATGTTTTTTTCCTCTTGAACTGAGTATGAAAATGAAGGAATGGATGTGCCCTTTGAAGACTGATGATACGTAATCCCTCTCCTTGCCCCGCTTTGTTCCTTGCGGCAGCGCTCTGGACCAGGCCGGGTTTCGACAGGTTAAGCGCAGCAGTGTCGGGGTGGTGCCTGGTCCGGGGCGACTGGGGGGGTCCGGCCGGGGGGCCCGGGGCGGCCCGGGAAGCCTCTGCACCAGCAGCGCTCGCGCCTGCTCTAACTGCCAGGGCTCCCTCGGGCAGAAAGATTGCTCCCATCCTTTCCTCTAGGATTTCAAGCAAGAGTTTCTAATTAATGACATCTCCCCATTTAGCGCTTGATATATAGACAGATGCTCAGGCTTTTAAGGCTGGTTTGAGACCTACAACGCTCACTCCATATAACACAGCATCCAGTGAAGAATTTTATTGTTACTGATTTGGGTTGGATTTAATCAGGCCTTTAGGGATAAAGGACGTCATGGGAGCGGGTCCTGCCTACGAAAGAGTCTGGCAAATAACCTCATGTCTAAGAGAAAGTCCTGTTAGCTGTAGGATTCCCAGAGGGGCGAGACTATGGAGGCATATAAATACGCATTTTTTGAATTTGGTAACGACGTGATAAGACCTGCGAATCTCCCCTTGTTAGGTCTTCGTGTTGCACATCTGCATTCCCCATGGCAGGTGCAGTCGTTTTAACTGAAAAAAGCCCTTGTGTTAATTTTACCCAAAATTCTTACGCCAGCATGACATAGGTAGGTGTGTGCATTATATAGTATGTAGCGCCTGAGCTGTGGATATTGATTATCAGTATTTGTATATGCCTCCACAAGAATGTAAGCCCCGATTTGATTACTTACCTTTTCTAATTTCATTTATAAATTGTAAAAATGAGATTTACCACAAATACCTCAATTCCTAGTTTATCAGGGATTGATGAACAGTCTATATTGTCAGTTCTTGAGCTGCTAGATACTTCTCGGTACTGCACTCAGCATCCAGGGGTAACTTGATCTATCTACCTATATTAGAGTTAATTTTCGGTATCCTTTAGAGGAAAAGGATATGGGCCCCTTTTCTTTGAAAATAGTGTTAAATTGCTACAAAGTACTTGGAAATGACTCTGCTCAGTTCCTAAAGATCAATTTATTCGCAATAGAGATAGGGGCTGAGCGGGCAGCGTAGAGAATTGCTAATGAGATATGGAGCCTTTTGCTTCTAAGCCACAGGTTCTAGTCCGCTACAAGTCTATGTTAACCTAAAGGTTTTAACTTCTGAAGGGCTGCTGGTTGTCCGATAAGAAAAGCCTGTGGTGTCTTCGTCCCTTTTTCCATAGACACGCTAAGATGTACGACCACAGTTTGTCCTGGCTGACAACCTCAGTACACCCAGGGACATCTGAGCAGCCCCTGGAGGCTGGCTGTGCTGTCGTTCGGCCCTAGGGAGCGGCTCCCACGTGGGCTGCGCTGTAGTGCTGCTACGGTGAAGCCGTGGCCTTCAGCTTTTCAGGCTGCCTGTTTAGCGTACCCAGCTGCAGGCTGATCTGTTATGGCCTCTGGGCCCATTGATGGCATAAATCTTAATGGCAAAGCTAGAGAAGCACCTGCTTATCTTTCGGTGCTGTTTATCTTAGACTCTACTTGGGCTCTTTTCTGGATTCAGCTTGGCACGCGATTGACTCGAAACTATAAACTTTGCATGCACTGTTGACGTTTCTCCATTTCTCTTTGGTTAGCTTTATTCTAGAGAATGGCAAAACTCAATACACACAGGCAAAGCAATCTGGCAGAATATATTGGGAGCATCACTGTGTCGCTCATAGAAGACTGTGCTGAGAGTAGCTCAACCTTCCCTTCCTTTTGTCCTCCCGTTCCTTTGAAGCAGGCAGCATACGCTCTTTGTAGACAGGCAGGCGCATGGTCTCACTAGAAGACCCAAAAGTGCTGGCCGGGGGTTTCAGAGGTCAGTGTTAGTGGAATCAGAGCTTTAGTGAACTGTCTCAAGGAGGAACTTTTACATTGTACAGACTGTAAAGAAAGCAGCTGTTGCTTTTGCTCTCAAATTATTTTTCCTTGGCCACTTTACGGTTTTGTTGTGTTTTCCTTGGGAGTACCTAGCTATTTTTTTTTTCCCTCGAGCGCTCTGATTTTGCTTTAAGAGTTGCAGCACCGTCGATTGTATTGGCTGTCTCTGAAAATGGTGTAGCGCTTGCTGTCTGTGGGCTCCCCGCTGCTAAGTGCTGCCAGTGGGACTCCAGCGCATTTAGATCAGTCAATAGGGCTATCATGGCCTATTTTCCACACTGTCCCCGGCCTGGGCATCTCTGTAACCGTTGGATGGAGCACAAGAGCCCTCAGATCATCAGTTACCGGGTGCTGATCCACACGCTGGCTACATCCGTGATACAAACGTGTGTTGTGGTGGCGGAGAGGGTGTGTGCAGCACGCAGGGCTCGTGACGTCTGCCCTCTGAGTTCCAGCCTTTCTCTCGTCACGCTCTGGGTGCAGAAGGAGCGAACATAAGTTCCTGAGTTTTAGAAAGATGTGTCATTAATTTCTCCTCCTCATTTTCAGTCACTTTCTTCTGTCGATTGGGACTGGGTACTGAAAAGCAACATGAATGAAATTTGATGCTTGTGGGATCCCATTCACGTGCAAACCCAATCCTACGCTGGCAGTCTGTGCTCAGCACCACCGGCGTGTGGGCACTTCAGAGCCTGGTGTGGTCCTGACGAGCCTGTCAGTTGGGACTGGGGACAGCTTGCCTAACTGATACGATTGTACTCCCAAGGTGTTTGAAAAGTCTCATGCAGCAGGTGTTACATCCATTTAAAGACATGTCCTGCTATGCAGGGATGCTCGTATCAACCTCTAATGTAATCCTTACTGCATCAGAGTTTTGGGGAAAAAAACAGCGTTTCTGCTATAAATATAGCCTGTAATATAACCTGTTCACCAAATTATAAAAGGGACTATATCGCAGTCCCTGCTATTCCAGGCCCTCTGTTATCTCACGGCAAAAATTTCCCAGGAATATTCTGCAGTTGTTGCTAACAGATGGAGTTAATCAGCTCTCTGGGAGGGAAGCTGTCCACTGATACCGTTACATTCTTCCTCTAGATCCCATCTAATGCCGAGGCTGAAAGAATCGCGCTCCCACGAGTCTTTGCTCAGTCCCAGTAGTGCTGTCGAGGCTCTGGATCTCAGTATGGAGGAAGAAGTGGTCATCAAGCCAGTCCACAGTAGCATCCTGGGACAGGACTATTGCTTTGAGGTAAGAGTCCTTTCTGGTTATCCGGGGGGCTGTTCCTGTCGTGTAACATGGCTGATTGGGGAGCAAGGTGTAGGATCACATCTTGGCCTCTCGCTGCTCTGAAATGTTTCTGATCTGAATTGCTGCACAAAGAGACCGTTTCATAGGGAGAAAATGACTTCAACTTTACAAGGAGAAGCATACCTATAAAATCAGAGCTTTGAGCTTTTTGCCTTGTAACCATTGTAGCAGCCAGACTTGCTGCTGGCATAAGTGCTGAACTACTAAAGACCGTGTATTAGTAGAGCATAAATTAGTAGTTTATGTTCATACAGATGTGAGAAGGTGCTAATCTCTATTCTGTGTGTATAAAGACGTTATATGTGGTCATAAGGATATCCTACTGTTGTCCATGGAAGTGGAGTTGAGGACTTTGTCTAGAAAAGTAAGGCTTTACTTGTTTGGGTAAATAAGAGGTCTGTGAATATTTTAAGTTTCTTTTACGTGGATATCACCTGTTTTGGCACGTGATCAGATCTTTACCAGCAGGAAGCAGTGAGGCACAAAAAACAGTGTACAGTTAGATAATGCAATGTAGCATCACTTAGGAATTGTTTATCCTTCATCATGGAAGACAAAATATTGCTTATTGCAGCGGGTAGATACAGATAGGATTGGGAAATGGTTTTCTTACAGTAGTAAGGTGGTTGATATTTGTGTTTCTGTGAAGAGCAGGTAACCTATTTATGCTTGGAGATAGAAGAGCAGATAAACTGTATGTTCATGGTTGGATCTCGGATCACGTTGTAAGCGGGTTACGGTGGGAATGCAGACGTCTTTTGGGGAGGGGCAGTGCTAGATGGAGACAACCTTGTCAGGGTCAATGAACAGTCAGGCAGGAGAGATTAAGATTTTTTCATTACTGAAATTAGTGCATTTTGAAGGGAATGAATTAAAAGACCCGTTTCTTAACATTGAAACGGGTGAGACCGAAATCTTCTTACAAAAAAATAGCTCCAAACGTAAACTCTGAAGTGGGTAGAGGTATAAATTTTCCAGTGCTGTTCGTTCTCTGTAGAATTGAGCGAGTGCGGCAGGTCAGGAGGAGAACCGTTTTGTAAATTATATGGCCTCTATTACATTCCACTCAAGAAAGATAAAATGAAGCTAGATGGAAAATAGATGTGACATCCATAATATAAGAGTTGTTTACCACTTCTGTTCAGCACACAAGAGCAGAGGAAGGGATGTGAATAGTATTTGCACAAAGTTGACTGAGAGGGAATTACACAAGTCATGCATTTGTAAGGACGAAGAAAAATTTAAGTGAGCTGGATAAAAAAAAGAGTCATACAGAAAAAAGATCATGTTAATTGCTGTTCTGCAAATCCTGTAGAGGAAAGGAAGAATGCCAGAAAACGAAAGGGACATTGATTTGTAACTGATGGTTACTCATCAGCAAGCTCCAGAGGGAAGGAATTAGGTGAGAGTTAAATGGCATATTGTGTTAATGCATTGCTCTTCTATCTCTGGAGAGCCGCTTACAGATACTGATTTAGGTCAGAAGTGAAATGAGTTTGCAGATCTTTCTGAATCCCTAATGGGTAGTAGGCAGTGTCCACAATCCACTGTGCATTTCTGTATAACTGACAGAGGCAAAGGATTAGCATTGCCTTTGGGCAGTACAGGGCGGGAGAGATGAGCATAGCTCGTGTCTTGAGCCCAGGACGGAGCAGCGGATTGTGCTGGCGGTCAGGCTGGACAGTTTTAGTTGTTGCTGACCTCCCCGGGCTCTCACACACGTTGGCCCAGAGAACTTCATCGTGTGGTTGTACGCGCCGGGCAGTAGTGCCAACTGAGTATCAAAACCGTGTGTGCATCTTTTGCTCTTCAGTACCTGAATGTTGCCTTTAGTTATTTTGCTTTGGAGAATGTTTTAATTTACAAGGATGGGCCTCTGATACATCTCAAATCACCCCTATATCCTGAGGGTCTCCTCTATGGCCTGTGGTCCTAAATCCTTCAGTATTACTTTATCTGAAAGTACAGGACAGACTTGGCAAAGACTGTTGCCCTTTTTTAGTGGAAGCAAAGAGCAGTAAAAAACTGTGGTGATTGCTGTGGCTTGGAGCTGTGAAAGCTTTGGTCTAGTCTGCAGGAGATTGAGAGAAAAACAAGCTGGTGATGGAGAGCCATGACACTGCTACGTGTGAGAATACTGAAGAGTGAGAAATGCAAACTGATGTCCCGGGAAGCAAACCTTGACAAGAAAATTGTCAAGTGAGAAGGGCCTGCCAGAGTCCTGGAGACTAGAGGAACCAAGACATTGCCTGCATAGTGCGTTATGAAGGTGCAGCGGGTTGGTAGTGCTGCACTGTCCCTGTGAAGCTGTTGTAGATCTGTTCTCTGGAGAGATCACTGAGGAGCAGCCAAATGTGCTCTCTCAAGTTGAGAAGTGAGGCATTGCTGTTGTTGGGCAATGCCAGCCTTACACTGTTCTTAATTATCTCCTCCTTGCAGTGTTGTGGTCAGGGAGTAAACAGTGCCTAGGAAGTTACTTTCCTCACCAGCTGGCTGGTGTCCCTTAGTTCTCTTCTGGGATGCCTGCACTCGCTTGGCCTGGATGGCTCAGCCATGCTCTTCTTTGGGGTCTCTCAGTAGCAACTGCACGCAGCAGGTTTTCCAGAAGCTGACTGCAGTCCAACCTGCCCAGCACATGCGGTGCAAGGTACGGCATGGCACGGTCCTTCAAACCCCAAGCAGCAGCAGCAGCAGCAGCCGCCGCCGCCGCCGCCGGCGGGGGGGTAACCCCCCGGCCGCCGCCGCCGCCGCCGCCGTGTGGTTTGAAAGAACGAGAAGGCAGGATTTGACATGGCTGCAGATGGAGTTGCACTGGAGAGGGGAGGGTCGGCGAGAGAACTGGCAGCACAGCCGAACCGAGCAGAAAGCAAGAGGTGCCAGAGCCATCTGCAGTGGAAAAAAACAAGAGGTTTGTTCAGAGGTGGCTGGCTTTGTAAGGGTACGGTGCAATTGTTTCTCCCCGTTAGCACGACTGACCTGTGCGAAGGCGTGCTGTAGCTGGCGGCTGAGCTCTGTTCCCCCTGCGCGGGGCTCTGCGGGGGGTAAGGAGGGCACAGCTGCGCAGACAGCGGTAATGCACTGCTTTTTTCAAAAGCTGCATTTGGCTTTTTCTGCTTATTTAGTTCTATGAAACTTGCCTTTTCTGACTTGCTGAGTACTTGGCAATCAGTATTTATTCGTTTTCTTCATTGATATTTTCAAAAAAATTATTTACTATAATCTTTTTTCTCCTTCTAAGAAAGACCTCCCAGTCAGCACAATTATCTAGTGCACGTGCTGCATATGCTAAATATGCAATAGGCAGCTTAGTCTAGTAAAAAGAGACCGGGAGTCCAGACTCCTAGAGCCTGGTCCTGGCTCCGCTGTTTGTGAGGTCCTAATGACTAGGGCCGGGACCGGGGATGAGGATTGAAGGATTCTGTTGTCACTGTCTTGGCAGACCAAAGTCTTGCCTTGTTGCACAGCTCACGTCTAGGCCATCACAGGACACAGCTGGGAGAAAGTGGAACAGGACACAGAAAAAACAGCTCAGACCTTGTAGGCTCATCCTGGCCTTGCCTGAGCAAGGGAGAATTTAGGGGACAGGCTTAGTCCAGCTGTGTAAACATCTGCCGTTGCTTGCACAGCCCTGCAGGCTCCCTGGCTGGCCGTCCGTCACAGGGTCTGCGGGGCTGGCCCAAGCACTGTCTTCCCTGCTCTGATTTGCTGTTCTGCAGCTTGGATGTGGTAACATTTATCAGCTTGAGACTTAATTTTTGCTCATAAAATCTTTTGAAGACTTTGAGTGAAACAGCTTCATTAACTAAGGTACCACCTTTTGTTGTTACACCACTGAGGTTCCTTGAAAGGTAGTTTGAGCAGCCCATGCTACTTCTAAGAAATTTTTTAAAAGTGGCAAACTTTGTCTGATTGCAGGAATCACCCATCTGAGGATGAATAAGTAATATTTTAGAAATTAACAAGTTTTATTAATTGAGTTTATCCTGTACATTAACAATATCTTGGCATATCCAAAAGCTTGATGAGACCAGAATGCTCTCTTTATTGAGATAATTAATATCTCACGAAGATCCTTAATACATATGGTGTTTAGGTCAGAGGTCAAAGCCAAGATACTATTACAGATATGAGGAAATCACCTTTTTCAACACACATGGTAGACATGACCCTCAATTCCCATCAGATCAAGAGAGCTTCCAATCTGACACATGAGGAATTTCCTCTTCTCTCACCTAAGTATGGCAGTTACAATTTTTTTAGGTTTTGAATAACTAGTTAATGGGTTTAATTGATTTGGAGTGGAATCACAAATTTTACCATGATAGGTTAATGCCAATGTATTTACTTATATATATATAGCAATAAAGAATCTTAGATATTCAACTGAACAGATAGCTGGTAAAAGAAGTGACATTTAATTAACAGATCTAATAGAAGGATGACTAAATCTCATTCTTATTTATTTGGATATGAATCCTATTGAGATCAGTAGGGTCAATATGTGCCACAAAGAACAACTTCCCTTTAAGAGAACTTCTTTCAACAGCAAACAAAAAAGTTGTGATTCCCTTCTGTAGCAGGGTTTCTGAGTTTCCTCCCTAATTCTCTAACTGGAGAGCAACATTCAAATGCATTTGTATACCAAACTCCTATCAAAAACAAAAGAGAAGAAAAATGTCCTTTGAGGAAAGAGACTCATGGCATAGCTCACTGAAAGGTCTGTGTGACCTGTTCCACATTTATTAACTGATTTCTAAGCAGTCACTTGGAACTTAATTTTATGGACCTTAATTTGAATTTCAGTGGGAGTTTTTTTCCCACTCGGAGGTACAGAAGCTCAGCCGTAACTGCTGTAGTGTAGGGTGGCTATATCAGTAGAGTTCAGGACTTCTGCACTTTAGACTTGAGCGTAGATGTTTTTGAGTCTTCCACAATTAAATCAGATGGGCCAAATAGGACAAGGCTCAAGTTCTAAATTTTTAGGTTCTTGTCTGAGCAATGTTGAAGAAATCATGTTGATTTAGCAATTACTGAGCAATCTGGAGTGATGCTTGTTTGCTGTGTATCTTTCATGTCACTTCGCTGTAAGTTCGGTTCTTAAAAACTGTTGCTAATTGGTACACCTGTGATCTTTGTATTTGTAACTCAGTATTAAACATTACAGCACCGTGTTAAAGTAATGCAGCTATGCATTGTCCATCTTTAGGTGCCGTTACCATTCAGGTGTATGGCTGTGCTCATCTTGAATGCTGTTGCAGACACTCTGCTGAGAAAAGGATCAAGGTGCAGAAGTGCCATAGCCTCTGGCAGAGCAAGGCATAGGGATCACACACGATGGGGACAATCAGTCTTGCAAGTGATACATCTCTTGTGCTACCAGAAGTTCGTTTGTGAGGGCTTAGGGATATAGCTTGACAGTAGCAAATAGGAGATGAAGCAGACCAGATTTGTGATGGGAAAACTTTGAAGAAGCTAGAAATACACTGAAGCGTGAAAAGATGCTGAAAAAATTATAAAACTGTGTCTGTCAATATGGAGTCTTCTCTTCTTAGGAATAGAAGATAACTTGTGCCCAGAAGAATTTTTAGTTTTACAGGTTAGAGTGTGAAAGCATACTCTACTGTTTGCATTGAGCCTGAAGGAGAGACCTGGAATATCAAGGGTTGGAAAATTTCTTGAATTTGCTGTGTAAAGACAGGATAGGATATAGACAGGATTTTGCCCTGGTTAGAAAATGCCTGTGTTCAAAGGAAGGGATGTGTTCAATTCATCTTTGAGTTTGACTAATGACAAATCTTAGTGAGTGCCAGCTCCGCTTTAAGAACATGTTAAGGTTCTGGGAGATGTATGAAATTAAAGGAGATTGTGTCTCCCAGAAGCAGATGGCCCAGTGTGTAAAAACAAACGCTGGGAGATGATAAAGAGCACACCAGTACTCCTGCAGCTTGGAACTGGAGAAAAGGAAACTCGGAGAGGAGTTAGTTAAAGTACCAGCCAGGTCCATTTGGCCCACAAGCAGTGAGGTACATAAAGAATATTACTGGACGTTGCCAGGTGCAGTGAATACCAGGAAGGTCAGAGCAGCTGAAGGAGGCTTTTAGGAGTAGCACAGAATTCATAATACCGCAGTCATGGTCCATCAGCTTGCCAGCAAGGCCTGAGGGAGGGAGATAGGTGCTTGAGGAATATGTGTACATGAGAGACCTCTTCTAATTTAGAGTCATGGCTGGACAGGACCTTGGAGCATTGTTGGTTTTTTAGACCTTGGCTCAGTAACTGACACCAAGGAAGTTTGTTGTGATGGATAGGAGGAAATGTTTGGTGGCTGCTGACTTCTGCTGAGTCCTGGGAGATGCTGCTCACCCTGTGCCTGCCTGGCAGTGGCTGCTGAGATGGAGTCCCCCAGAGCTGGGGTCACGTAAATGCTACAGAAAGATTCCTTGGAGTGGTGCTGAAGTATGAGAGGTGAGAGTAGGACGCAGCAGCATTTCTACCTGCCATCTCCAGGTTCAGGAATCCCAGCTTGGTTATCCGTGGCTGCGGAACGGGTGCTGTGAGCTCGGTAATGCCACCAGCTGAGCTGTGAGTTGCCACTTTTACTGCTGCCAGGAGCGTGTTGCATACCCTTCCCCATGTTCTTCCCAGTGTGGTCTTCAGAAGCAACAGGATAGGAAAGGGGAAGGTGGGAAGCAAGGTTAACCAGGGGCTGATGTTCTACTCAAGACAAGGGATAGGCTGTTACGGTCACAGTCTTTGTGCTGAATCTAGAGGAATGCCAAGTGGTTACAGTTTATCGTTAGTTCACCTAAGGATTTGCACTCTCTGTTGTGGACCTTGTGCTTTAAAGCATCCCATGCACGGGGCCCAATATCTAGTGTCTTCTGGTGTGGAAGAAGGGAAGAGGGGATTTGCTTCCGTGATTAATTCTGCGACATGCAGAGATGCTCTCTTTTTCCACTAGCCTTAGGTGGTGTTGCTTCATGCTTGGGTAAAGCTATTTGCTTGGGGGTTGGAGGGGGAATCTACCAGGGCCTTTTCCTACTCTCCCCGACTTCCCAAAACACAGTCTGCAGTGTGCTGGTCAAGATATAATCCTGTTCCTTTCCTTGTAGGTGACGACTTCATCAGGAAGTAAGTGCTTCTCATGTCGTTCTGCAGCGGAGCGAGATAAATGGATGGAAAACTTGCGGCGTGCCGTGCACCCAAATAAGGTAGTGGCTTTGAGGAATTGCCTCTGTTATAGTTCAGTTCCTCCTTATTACATTTTAAAGCCCAGTGCATAGTAGCAGCGGGGGACATATTGTCATTTTAGTGAGTAAGTGTATTTGTGGGTCAGCTTTTTTCCATATTGCTTTCTTCCAGAATTAGATTTACAGGAAAGTGCTAATTATTTCTTCCTCTATTTTTGCAGCACGTGCTGCTTTCAGCTGTTGCTGAGAAATGATCAGACCTCAAGAATCTTCAGTCTTGCTCTGTTACTAATGATATTTGCCACTTACGTAGGATTTTCCGCTTCCCAAAAGCTTTGGAACAGATGGCTGGTAACTGCCAGCAAAGGTACAAGACTGAATAGTCAAAAAGAGTTCACGTAATACCTTTCCTGACTCTGGTGGTACTTGCAGTGTCTGTTTCAGAGTTGGAGAAACTCAGATGCAATGTCACGGTGAGTTCTCCGAGACTGCAGTGGAATCTGGTTTTTGGAATGTAGCTTTCCGCTTCTTTAGCCAGTTGAGTCGGCAAAATCACACCCTCTGGGATCTACAGAGACAAATTCCTCTCTTCACTGGAACGCAGGGACGCCCAGTATATGTTTTCATGGTCCGCTAAGGCTAAGTGCATCCTAAAATAAAGCCTGCAGCTGCTTCTTCCTCTCTGCCTTGGAGTTAGCTAGCAAAGATTGATCAGGGCTAATCAGCTGCCGGATTTCACAGCTGATGAGCTCAATCAACAAGTCATTTTCTGCTGATCAGGGGAAAATGCAAATGATGGGATCCTGTGAATTCATTCCTGGCATCAGAGGTACATAACTGTGCCCACAGGTTAGATCCAGACCTGGCAAGTTGCTAAAGGAGCCCTCTGTGTCCGAGTTTGTTGTTCCTAGTTCAGTGCCAAATGTTGGTATAGTAGATTTCCTTTCATATCAGAAAGAGAACAACAGACTGGAGAGGTGGACTTCTGCCTCTGGGAATGTGTTTCTGCATGTGGAACTCAGCTGCTGGATCCAGTGCTTTGCATCAAGAGTACAGCAGCCCCGTAGTAGTAGTGATCTGAAAGAGCTTTGTAAGGCTTGGGTGATCAGGCCTTTTTATTTACTATTAGCCTTCTTGGACTGGGGGGGAGGAGGGATGGGCATATCAGTATGGCTTTGAGATGCCATGTTCAGGGAAAATTCATTTGGAAATAGGCCCTTATCTTGAAACGTGCTCTTAGCTGATGGCTAACTTTCCGTCTTTGTTTGACTTCTTAGACAATAAACTCTCAGTGTCTGACTTGATATTTCTGTCAGGAATTTACTGTTCTTGTAAAATTTCCTGTGTGTACTTCCTGAACCTACAGTACCCCATTGTGGACTTCCAGCAAAAACGTTCCTGTCCAGACTCCTAAGCGAAGCAGATAGAATAAACCCTGGTTGCTATTTCAGCTACGGACTTCCAAACAAAACAGGTTACTGCAGAGTCCGTAGGAGTGATTCGGCTGCGAGTGCTTTGTCTTTTAAGTCGCTCCCGCAGCAAATGCCCCTGGGTGTTCTTCCAGGATGAGGTCATCATCGCTGGGGAGTCGTTAAAGATCCACAGTATCCTTCACTGCATTGTTGTTAAAACAGTATCAAAGCCAAATTTCTATTTCTGAATTTTAATCATTCTCCTGTGTGACTCACTCTGTCTCCCATAATTCCTCTTGATATTTTAGTTGGATACTCTGCTCTTCAGTCCTAAAATCTTGTGAGGTTTTGCAAATGCTTCTTTCCATGCCAGAGGTGGTTATATTCCAGCCTTGGATGAGGCAATCCCTAGGTGTACGTTAGGATCCCTTTATTGTTGCTCTGTTGCAGTAAGGAAAGTGTACTCCAGTGCTGCTGTAAAGCAGCAATACCAAAAAAAGAGGGGGAGGGCAATGACACCTGTAACGTAGCTTTTGTTTTGCAAAAGGCGTTCATTATTGGTAAGGCTCTTTCCTGTTTCTTTTGAGGCCCTCTTGGCAGCGAGTTGGAACTGGTACATTTTAAATTTGGAGAGGATTTATCTTTCTTGTTCCTTATATTAATTGCACGGTGATATTTGGAAAATTAACATAAGTAGTGTTATTATGCAGATTCCTGAGAGCCAGTATTTCCTTAAAATAAAATATAATTAAGCCTCTGCTCATTTAGCACATCCGAAATAATTAACTCATATCTCCAGTTTTGTTGTTCATGGCTTTGTTTTTTTCTCTTGACCTTTTTTATTTGCGTCTTTTTTTTCTAGGACAACAGCAGAAGGGTAGAGAATATGTTGAAGTTGTGGATTATTGAAGCCAAGGACCTGCCAGCTAAGAAGAAGTACTTGTGTGAATTATGCCTGGATGACGTTCTTTATGCACGAACTACCTGTAAATTGAAAACTGATAATGTCTTTTGGGGGGAGCACTTTGAATTTAATAACCTCCCGTCGCTCAAAAACATTACAGTGCACTTATACAAAGAGACTGACAAGAAGAAAAAGAAAGACAAGACCAACTTTATTGGACAAGTGAACATCCCTGTTGGCTCTGTCACGGGCCGGCAGTTTGTAGAGAAGTGGTACCCTGTGGTCAGCCCCAACCCCAGTAAGGGCAAATCCGCAGGGCCTATGATCCGCATCAAGTCGCGCTACCAGAGCATGAGCATTCTTCCCATGGAGATGTACAAAGAGTTTGCCGAGTACATCACTAACAATTACATGGTACTGTGCTCGGTGCTGGAGCCCTCGCTGAGTGTGAAGAACAAAGAGGAAATGGCATCTGCATTGGTACACATCCTGCAGAGTACGGGCAAGGCCAAGGTAAGACCCCTTTGTCATCCGTACGCTCCCATTAGAGGTGATCACAAGCAAGCTCCTGTACATAACGTTTTGGACTGGTGGAAATCGGCACATCGGTATGGCTTTCGTTTGGCTTCAGGCCTTCCCATCATTAATATACTGTAATTTTCCTTTTTACTACGAACAAGTTGGTAGCATATGCATTGCAAATTGCTTAATTAGGAAAGAGGTTGGAGGGACCAAGAAGCTACCAACATAAGTATTTTTCTCTGCTTTTGGAGGCTAAGGGGCCAGACTTATTTCAGGCACAAATCTAAAAATATACAAGAGGGCTGTTTTCAGGGATGAAACGTCAGCAGCATTGGTTTGAGCTAAGCAAGGCTGTATGTGCTGTGTGTTCACATCAGAACCTGTAACGTTGCCCACTCCGTGCCTTCCTGGCGCTGCATCACTGCATTGTGCATCCCAGGACTGTAGGAGCCACAGTGAAGTAGACACTGCCTTGGGAATTTCAGGGCAAAGTCTGCCTTCAAGCAAGTGTGTCTCCGAATTAGCTCCGAGTCTTTGGGATCTGTCCTGTGCCTTTTGGGAGGGGAGATATGGTGGGGACAGCAGCGCAGGAAAGCCCAGAGCTTGTGGGATGCTCCCAGGCTGTGCTGGGGCTGAGGAATTGATACAGGCTGACTCGCAAGTGCTAAAAGTTGAGTCTTTTGGGCCACTCTGAACTTCCTTCATGACTGGGAATCCTCTGCCAGGTCTGGGAAGAAAAGCAAGCCAGGAAGAGGCAGAGGGCCTGGGCTTTACTTCTGGTTGTGCTTGGTGCGAATGAGGGCAGGATGGGCAGAGCTGGTAAAGCCGTTCACTGGAGGTCACAGGCAAGCCCGCGCTCTTAGCTGACCCCGGAGGCGACAGAGCAGTGTGAACCCACTTGCCCCAGAGCAAAGCTCCTCCTTGCTGCACGTCCCCAGCTGACATGAGCACAGCTCTGATGGGCACTGTTAGCCACAGTGCCAGTGTCAGAACTGAAGGAGTTAGAACATCATAGTTTTTCTCTCTCTTAATGTTTCCCTGAGCTCTGCAATCAGGAGCTGGGGGAGGAGCAAGATCTCCAAAGCTTTTGCAGTGCTGAGGAGAGGTAAGCTTCCCACCTGAGATGGGGAATTGCAAGGCTTTCCTTTGTCTTTGCAGCTGCCACTCCTGCCTGCAGTCATGGCCGGATTCATGGATTAGATGTAACTACCATCTGTCATACGGAGGAGTGACTCGGCCTCCTTATCTGGTTCAAGGCAGGAGAAGCTCAATGAGCGGATTGCAAGGCCATGGGCCTGCTATCCCAGAGGTGGTGAAAATAGCTCAGTTAAAGCAGTTCTGATCCCAGGAAGGAGTGTCGCGCCCTCAGGAGTGCAGGGAAGGCCCGCGGTCCTCGTCCCTGTGGCTTTGTTGCTTTCAGTGGGAACAGAAGCGGCTCACAGGTCGCTGCGTGTGAAATAATACTGTTGTGCTTATATAACAGAGAACATCTTAGGTCGGCCCTTTCTCGCTTGTTGTGCCAGTGGCTTTAGCACAGTCGTCAGCGCGTGCAATGGTTTGCTGGCACAGCCCTGCCTTCTGCTGGTGATGCTCCTCCCTGCGCACGGTAAGCTTCCCTGCCCTTTGCTGCATCTGTGACTGCACTAGTGCCGGAGCTCTTGCTGGAATAAAAAATCCTATCTATGACTAACACGGTTCCAGTGCAAAAGGCTTTAAGTGTCGCCCTGATCTCGGTCACTGTGAATCAGGTGCATGTGTGTCTGAGAGCCCTTGTCACTGCTCCTGCCTTTTCCCTCTTCTCGCCAGTGCTGGAGAGGCTCAGGAGGCAGTAAGCATGTTTCTAGACATGTGTCTGCATCAGTGCTGAGATCCCAGAGGCTCTACACAGGGGACGCAGCAAACAGTAAACAGACTTGATAAATTTCCCCCTAAAATGAAGCTTCTGCTTTCCCTGCCTGTCATCTGCCATCAGCATTGGCACAGAGTTTAGAGAGTGTCAGAGCAACTGGAATTATTGGAGCATGGGAACAGGGTGATACATCCTTCTGTAGAAGAGTTGGACAAGCAGAGGAAGAAAAATCAGCAATAGGGTAGAAAGAGCAGTGAATGAGAGAGGGTAACACCCACTCACCCCTGCTCGTGTGACAAGGGTGCACCCCGGCACCACCCAGAACAGCTCTCCCATGCCTGAGCAGTGAGACACGGCAAGAAGACACAGCCCCAGGAGAACGGCAAGCTCATGCCCGGTTTGCCCCGGGAGGCTGGAGGGGCATGGTGAGCCCAGCACACCGCTCCCATCCTCCCCAGAAGCACGAAGACAGAGCGCGGGCTCTTGTCGGGCTGCGTGGGAGCTGGGTGGCGGGAGTGCTGCCCAGCCGATGCTGGTTCTTGCAGAGCTTGGGCCGAGTGCTGCAGTCCCTCTTCTCTACGGTCCCCTCTGACTGACCCCCGTGGCCTGCTCAGAGGAGTGGGACTGGGCAGGACAAGTCCACGCTCGCTCTGTGCTGAGCCCCCTGGTCCTCAGGAGTTGGCGTGAGGTTGTCCCTGGCACTGGCATCTGCACTTGCCCCCCAGTATTGACGCAGACTGAAGGAGGCCTGGTGACAGCTCCCGCTGCAGAGGTGGAAGAGAACAGAACTGGCAGAAGGGCGAACTGCTGTTCCCGAGCCCCTCCGGGCTGTGCGGCCGGTGCCTGGGGCTGCTCCCCAGCGCTGTGCCCTGCCGCACGGGCGACGGCTCTGCCCTGCTCGCAGCCGCACGCGAGCGCTCTCCTCTTCCTATTATTGCAACCTCATCGCTATTTAGCAACATGATGTCTCTGAACACGCCAGCAGCAAATGCTCTTACTTTACCACTTTGTGGGTTTCGCGCAACTCTCGTATCTGTTTCCAGTGGAAGAAGGAGGCCCCTGAGGTCCTGAGCATGTCCCCACAACACGCAGAGATGGAGACCACCGTTCTGCCAAAATCTGGGGCAGGAAAAAGATAACTCAAATTTAGAAAAGTCTGATTACCATGTTATCTGCGCTCTCTCTCTCTCCCTGGGTATAACCTGTCTGGCCCCTGTCAACAGGGCCTGCCAGCAGGGTCCTAGAGTTTAAAAACAGAAACAACAGTAACAGTCTCTTTCTTTTTCTTCCTTACCGCTCTGCTGGGGAAACGGTTTGATTCATTTTTCTTTTGTTTATACATAATGTAGCTGTGTGCGTGTTTGTGTACGTGTAGACATGTACGTGCGTGCAGGTCTGACTGAACTACACCTAATTTTGATGTTGAGGACACCATTCCTTCAGCCCAGATGTACCCAGCACCAGACAGGCCTGCTGGTACAGAGGTGGCACTAGACAGGCAGGTGTATACCCTGTGGCCTTGCCTAGGGCACGGTGGCTTTTGAAACAGGCTTCCAAGCACAGGAAGAAGAGAAAGAGCACTTCTTCCTGTGGGTTTCTTCGAGAAAGAGAAATTGAGAGCACAGAGGGCAGGGATGGTGCCAAGGAAGCCAGCATGGTGCTGGGTGAGGCTTGAGGCTGAGAGTGGGGCTGGGTCCCAGGCGGCTGGCTTTGGAGGAGGACTTCAGTTCAGTCTGGCGGTAGTTAATACGCTGTTCCCGTGGTGCTGGTGTGTGCAGGAGCCCAGTGAGGGCGGTGTGCACCCTCTGCCGAGGCCTCTGTCCTCTTGTGACCCTCCGAAGCTTTCCTGGCTGGGGAGGTGGGTTTCGCGTGCTTAGGCCTTACCAGGAGCCTTCCCAGCGACCTCCCCAGAGTCCTCTTGTCTTTCCTTTGCCCTCTCCTCGTTGAAGAGTGCAAACATGGCAATCAACAGCCGTTAATTCATTTTGCTGATAAAGGGGTTTTTGTGGTTCTTGGCTGCTATAGCTGACGCTAAACTAGCAATTACAGTTGGAGTGAGAATCAAGTGTCCGGTAGATTATCTGTGAAGACTCGTTAGCAGCTAATTGCTCTTGCACTGTTTCAGGCTCTGTTTTCTTGTACTGATTTGCTGTAAATATGGTGTAACCCCTTAACGAAGCATGAACGATTGGGTACATGTGTCCATCCAGGGCCATGCTGCAGATCTCGTGTACGGAAGAGGCACAACATGGTGGTGACCCCACTCCCTGCGGGTGGTCCAGAGCAGCCAGGCCTCCCTTGGGGGCGTGCGCCCCTGCGCAGCCTCACGGGCTGCACGAGGGCGATTCTCCTTGAGCGGACGTTGCGCTCTGCCCTTTGCAATAATTAGATGTCTCCCACCAGCCAGGTGTTGTCTGGAGCTTGTGAAATCCAGAGGCCCTGCCTCGCTCTGTCCTGCCCGGAGAGAAGGAGCATGTACGGCCGCTGTGGGCAGCCAGGGGGATGAATGCTGCCCAGCCTGGCCGGGCAGTGCCCATCACTGCTTCTCTGTTCTCACTTTCCCCCAGCTCAGGCCTTTTTGATTGTTTCCAGCTCCATCCCTGACTCAGGTGCAGCCTCACTTGCTCTCTTCCTGTGCAGCATCTGACAGCATCTTGCCTGCCCTGGCCGCTGCCAGGAGCGGCACTCGCCGCAGAGGCAGGGAGGTCCGCGGGGGTCCTGCTCTACCTACACGTGTGGTGAGGAGCTCTCACCTTTGGCAGGATAAGTAGCAGAAGCCCTCTTGAGCATCTTGGATCTCAGGGCGACACTGGGCAGCGACACAGGTTGTCCTGGTGCTGAAGCCCTGTACAGGTAAGGGGAGCTCAGTCTTGGTTGGCCAGTTTGGAGCAGGGAAGCACTGAGTATTGGTGGGGACTTGGCTGATTTGCAGGTTCGTCAGCGTACAGATTAGAGGGTGTGGGTGAGCTGTGCTGGAGTTCAGCCTTGAGGCAACTGAGTCCATGCTGCCTGCAGGCAGGAGAAGGCCTTCCCTGCATCCAAGTGCCCTGCCAGGGCCAGTGGGTTTGCATCCAGCTAGAGCCAGTGTGCGAGCAATGGGTAGACGTTTGGGCCTGCTGGTCAGCCCTGAGCTGGCCACATG